ACTCTAAAAAGTTACTATATATCATAAAAAAAACTCCTATCACGAGCTTTCAACTTTTGTTTTTTTATACATTATAACAGGAAGCTTTTTTTTATAATAAGGGTTTATAGAATCTTTTTTTTATTTATAAAAAACATAGTTTGGCTAAGCTTCTGCTTATAAAGAGAAGAAAAGCTAAAAATAAGACTTTTCAAATAACAACTAAATCAAAAGGAAAATGAACAATTAAAGAAAAAAATTATAAGGAAAAATACATATAAAAATTCATCTTAATAATAACATAGATGCATGAAAAGAGCAGAGGTTACAAAAACTGCAATATTTGTTACCCCAAGCACAACATCAGGATTTATAGATGATAGAGTCTGTACAACTGCATCCGTTTTTTGAAACCACAACCTAAAAAGCCAACACAAATTAAATTATGCGATTACGATATGGATACAGTGAACTTCTTAAAGCTTTTGGATTAAAATATATAATTTGGTCTATGCAAAAGTCTAAATCTTATAGTTAGCTATCAGCATCAAATTTTCACTTTTCTACTCTGTCTACCGAGAGAAGATTTATATTATAAATCACTCATAAATCTATTTAATGATTGGAAATGATAAATATATATATAAAAAAATTAAAACAAGAAAATGGAGATTTAGATACTTAGGTATTCATGTTTGCAAGTTCTATATACTTTGTCATTAGAGCCGGCAAAATGAATTCAGCTTGTCATTAAACAGGGTGGAGTAGGTTGACTTTTACAATCTATTTCAAAAGTGGGGCGGGACGAGCAGATTCCTTGTTTTTTTGGCAGGTTGATGACAGAGAAAGACAGAGCGAGGCGGGTCAGTTTAAAATAGGTTTGGGCCGACAGGCCAACCCGTCCTGCTCGCCAAAAGAGATGGAACAAATCGAGTTTTTTAGTCTATTTTTAAAAACGGAACAGGATGAGTTAACTCATTTTTTGACGGGTTGATAGCAGGACGAGGCGGGCCGCCACTTTACCACATCTATTTGTCATATACCAAGTCTAATTAGCATCTCAAGTGCAACACTTCCCACCCCACCTATTCTTTATGATTATGCAAGAATGACAAAAAACAATAAAAAAAATTAACATTTCCAACCAATTATAGGAGAAATAATCTAAAGAATGAGAGGTGAGCTTTTAGAAAAAAATTAAAATAGTTATGACCACCTGTTCGGGTTATCCTTTAACAAAAGATTGTCCATTTTCTATGTCCATGACCCAAAAGACAAAAATATTTTACAATCTTTTAATAAACAGAATTGCAAAGTCCATAGAAACTCCTTCCATAATTTTATATTGAGTGAGTACAAAGTGGATTAAAGGAGTATAACAAAGTTATCAGGAGTGGTTTAGTGATGAGAAATTTGAGTAGCTTACATGAAATATTAAGTTCAAAACCAAGGGTCACTATTATATCATAAAAAAGGAGTATAATATCTATATAGATCTAGCTAATGATTCTATCTTTTTCCTCATGAAAGTAATTTAATGTCAGACCTAAAAATATAATTACGAATAATATGAAATATTCTCCAAAGACCTAAGATACTCGATCTATTTATATATCAATAGTAAATTGGGCATAGGTTCTCCTCCAATAACAATAATGTTTTCTCCATCAATTATGTCTGATTAGAAAGATAGCGGACTAATAGATAGCATATGCACCAGTATGTTTATTTTCTATGTTCAGAACTTGGATGGCATATAATTCTAATGAAAAAGATATCATCATAAATAGAAAATAATGATGTCACTTTTAATAGTTTCCAAAAATTAAGGAGATTCTAAGAGGAAGTAATGAGAGGATCTTCTTGATTAAAAAATATGAATCTCAAGTGAACTAGGAGAGTAACACTAAAAAAAAGGAATTTTACTTGAGGTTATTTAGTGGCGTTTTAGAAAAATTGCCACTATATGATATAGTTTTTGGTAATATACTGCCCCGCAATTTATTTTATTTTTCTGACAATTTTAGTAATTTGTTGGCGATTTTAGATTGCCATAGATATGTGTATTTTTTTCTTTCGTTTTTTGCTATTCGAAAATGCCACTATCCACCACAATTCTCTTCCACTATAGAACTACCTTATTAGTTATTCCGGTTTCTCATCTTAATTACACCCGTCATTCACCATTTTAATTCAAATCTGATAAATTTGAAAACTATCCTTATATAAATTTTATTTGAGGAGGGATATTCTTACTACCAAAATTTTCTACTACCAACTCACTACCTATCTAATCACCATTGGATCAACATTTTCCCTTTTTTCAAATATTTTTAGCATTCTCACTCTTTGATTCAATGGTGATTAGATAGGTAGTAAGTTGGTAGTAGAAAATTTTGGTAGTAAGAATATCTTCCCTCATTTTAAAATCATAATTTTCTTAAACTTGTGTGAATTACGATCTCACGGTTAATTAGAACTCTCTTTTCCAAATTGATGCCCTTTCATTTAGGTAACTCATCTTCTCTCTATCTGATTTAAGTTTCATCCATCTCAAGCATGGTTTCATTTTTATTTTTTTCTTTTCTTCAATTTTTATGAAAATTTCGGTAATTCTAATTTTTCTCTTCAATCTTTAGTTCTACTCATTGGGCTTATATAGTTCATTTCTCTTTCCTTTCATCATGAAATCGTCAATTTCGATATCCCTGTCATCCGCAAGAGCTGAAATCTAACATTGATTATTCTCCAGAAAGAGCTCAGACGTTAATTTTCAATTTCAACTATAAGTGTGTGGATGAGAATACAATTTCTTTGATTTTAGTTCTTCTTTTCTCTTCAAGATCCATTGCAATGCCACTCAGAGCCTGTTTGTATTTTCTTTTCTTTTTTTAAAATTGAAGCTACTTATAAGCTAAAGCTAAAAAAAGAGAACTTAACAATAGAAGGAATCATAATGTAAAGTGAGAATTGTAAAGAAGACCTTATGGTGTGAAGTGTGAACCATGACAAGATGGATCAGGAAATGATTGGTTCAAAGATTAAAGATCCGCAAGCAAAACTTTGAGTTCGACCTCCCCCATGCCGCTCCTTTCTTCCAAGTTAATTGCTATGTTTGCAGCATCTGAAAAGCATGGAAAGTTTCCAACCTTGCTTGGATTCGAGTACTAACTCTTCACTGCATTTGCGAATGTTTCAATTCTCTCGAGTTCTCTTTATTTTTGTTCCAAATCCGCTGCATTGGCGAATGCTTGGATTTTACAATAAGATGACATAAATACTACAAACATAATTTAAAATATTTACTAAACTTAATTAATGGTGAATAAAAACATTTAGATCACCCAAAAATGGATGCAAACAAGAATATTAGTGCTGTAATTTTTTGAAATTCAGAAATATATATAAAACCTACCTATTTCTTTTTAACCAGATTCGCATTTCATAAGTAAGGATCGTAGTTCATCCATAACACGATCATGAGTGCAGCCTGAGATAAAGCTAGCTAAGTAGTTTGCAAGGTCTTGTGAATTAGGTTAAAAGCAAATAGTTTATTTAAGAGGAGTTAATGAAGGGTTAAAGGCTGATAGAAAATCGTAATAAATTCTACTGAAAAATATCATCAAGACTTAAATATGATGAATTAATTATGGAATTCTCAAGTTAGTATTATAGCACTAAAGGAGCTTGAAAAGAGTATAATTGTCTGAAATTAGAATAAGACTTATTAATGTGTTAAGCTGTGATTTAAATGGATAATGTAACTTTCATGTAACATGTACATGACATGGAAACCATCTCATGCACACCTTTTCATTCTCCAGCTTGTCTTTTTTTTTTTTAACAGAGATTGTGGATCCCATAAAAATATGTGTATGTCTGAAAGTTTGCCTTTCGCCCCCCCTTTTAATATATTTAGTTTGCTCATATCGCAAAATACTTTATTTACTTGAATCCCCCATTTTGCTCATTGTTGTTTTGTTTTAAGTTTCTAAAGGAAAATTAAATTGAAGGAAGGAAATAATGCTTCTTACGTTGTAGTTCAGATAGACAAGAAAAAGGTTGCGCTGAGATCTAATTCGGTCGGAGTGCCCGGCCAAATCCTAATTTCGTTTTGCTTCTCTCAGTCATCGAGCTTGATCGACTCATTATAAATTTTATTTCTTACACACATATAAAAGTGTGTGTCTTCTTTTCACACAGCCTTTCATGAACTCCCACACACACACACTTTATTTCTTACACACTTATAAAAGTGTGTGTCTTCTTTTCACATAGCCTCTCATGACCCCCCACACACACGTACACGCACGCACACGTACGCACGCGCGCGTGCACACACACATATATATGAGGTAGAATCTTTTGATACCGGTGTCAAAGTTTGACACCTCATTTAAGAGCCATTGGATCAAAAAAGATCAATGATATCACATGCTTACAAATCAGAGTTGTTGATCTTTTTTGATCTAACGACCTTAAGGTGATGTGTCAAACTTTAAATTTGACACCAGTATCAAATGATCTTACCACTATATATATATATATATATATATATATATATATATATATATATATATATATGGGAGATACAATTTTATTTTCTATAAAATAAAAAATATTAATCTCTTAAAAGAAATACAACTTCATGAACCATTTTTTTTTATAAAAAAAGTCTAATTTAACAATAACACATGCAATTAATCAAAACATAATACGTAACCAAAAAAAATTTGTATCATCAAACACATAAAATTTAAGCGGTCACTATTCTAGAGAAGTGTCTAAGTACAAAACTACCACAACCCAAGTTTGGATCAAAGACACAACAAACAACTCTTTGGACTAGATTCTCCCCAATGTCCATGACAAAGGGTAGGGACTGAAAAGCCCAAAGATACTGAGGTGTCATTTTATGATTGGTTCTCCTTTAAAGTAAGATGAAAATTACCTAAAAAGGTAAACGCCAGTAGATATATTACATCATCACGTCACAGTTGCTGAAATCAATTAGAGCCTTCAAACGAAGGGCCCCAAAACCTAAACCCTAATTTGCTTGCTGCGCTTGCGATTATGGCGTCGGATAGCGCTTCTCGATCGAGTTCCGCGGCCGATTCCTACATTGGGAGCTTGATAAGCTTGACCTCCAAGAGTGAGATCAGATACGAAGGTATTCTGTATAACATCAACACAGAAGAGTCCAGTATTGGCCTCAGAAATGGTATTCTTCTGCTACCCACTTTTTTTTTTGAAGAATTTTTCTCTAATCCTATCTGGGTTTTGTTTATTTTGAATTGAATTTGGCTCCCTTGATTTCAGATCTTTGAATTCAGTGCCAAGATTTGATTTTTATTTTTTATTTTCTTTAAAAAAAATCCTTTGGTTAATTCTGAAAAGTGGACTGAGTCCCTGCCAATTGTTGTGAACTTGTGATTGTTTTTGAGTCTTCTGTTGAAAGGCTGTAAAGGGTTTTGATTATTTATTTTCTTGTGGTCCCTGGACCGGAATTGTATTAGAAAAGCATGTTATCTGGTGCCCATTGATGTGGCTTTAGTTTTTTGGAAGCTTTGTCGTTGATATATCTGTGTTAGAGTGTCTGAATTGTGCTTCTTTCAGTGTTGCATATCATTCTCACTTGACAATTACTTGTTTTTTTAAGTTTGTTATCTATGTTTGCCTTGATTGTACTGCTGTTACGATCTGGATTAATGAAAAACAGTGCAATCAATAAACGCAGACAACTGATAACAAACTTTAAAAAATCCCCTAAGTCATTAATTAGTGAGAATCGCATGCAACCCTAAAATAGATCCTCCAATCTAGTTAGATTAATGACAAAGCTTCCAAACACTGAAACCACACTGAATGGAATAGAAAGTAGTGTTGTGTTTATTATAGAATCGAGATACATATTTTTCTCTCCTATGTTTGGATGATCAATCTAAGTGAGAGAATAATAGTTAGCATACATTTCGGTATTTCTATAAAAATAATAATTTGGATACGTATATTCAGAAACACAAAAGGAAGGAGCCGATATAGATTTTTTTTAATTATTTTTTAACTTGTTTCCTTTTGTCGTTGGAGGTAAAAATTGAGAGTTCAGAAGATTTTGTCCAAATATTTTCTATTCTCAGCGCTTTCCACTCACTTACAGAAGGAAAAACACCATTGCTATTGTTCAAGAGTCAAAGCCCCATTACTATTGAAAAGAAAAAAATCATCCCAAGCATATTTATTTACAGATATAAAGGCTTTGTTGTTTGCTTACGTCTTAAATGATCAGGAGTTCAGGACTGTTGGTCATTAGCTTTCATACATGCTTGATTTTCTTGTAACCATGTGGATTATTGCAGCTTTGAATTTTACCCTCTTGTTTATATAGTTATGCATTACCATAGACTTATTCATAAGTTTACTATCACTGGCATGGTGGTTGGTGGACTGATACTTTGTTTTTGTGTGGCAGTGCGATCTTTTGGAACAGAGGGAAGGAAAAAGGATGGTCCACAAATTCCTCCAGGTGACAAGATTTATGAGTATATACTTTTCCGCGGGACTGACATCAAGGTATCATGCACGAATATATACAATGGATGTACTGGTGCCTGATTTTGTTTATCATACTTTGGAAACAATGGATGTCACTTTGTGTGTTTTTTTTTTAAACTTGTCACAATTTGGTTCTAGATTCATTGAAATAATGGGTCATTTATGCATATATGGGGAGAAAAACATTAGATGGCCTTCAGATTTTATTTTGCTGATTTATAAGTTATTGTTGTTTCCTGACAGGTTTTGTTTAGATGTTATCCATATTTTATATGAATCAGATCAGCTGTGATATCTGTTATAATTTTTGTGTGCAGGATTTACAGGTCAAATCTTCTCCACCTGTCCTCCCTACTCCACAAGTCAACAATGACCCAGCTATTATTCAGGTTGGTGATAAACTTTTGTTCTGAATAATGAATCAAATTTAAATAATTCCTTCCTGATATATGGAGTTGCATTTGCAGTCTCATTATCCTCGCCCAGCTACCACATCTACAAGTTTGTCTTCTGCTGCGAGTGGGTCTTTGAGTGATCTTAGTTCTCATACAACACAGCTTGGACTTCCTGGGTCAAATTTTCAAGGGCTTCAAGGGCCTTTGCCTTTGTATCAGCCTGGAGGGAACATAGGGTCATGGGGAGCTTCTCCACCTGCACCAAATGCAAATGGTGGCCTTGCTATGCCAATGTATTGGCAAGGATATTATGGTGCCCCAAACGGGCTTCCTCATTTACACCAACAATCTTTGCTTCGACCACCACCTGGTTTAGCAATGCCTTCATCTATGCAGCAGTCAATGCAGTATCCCAATTTTAGTCCCTCTTTACCAACTATATCTTCTAATTTGCCAGAATTGCCATCAGGCTTGCTACCTGTGAATACCAGTACCCCTAGTATAACATCTGTTTCTTTACCTCCATCAAATCTGTCATCTGCTTTGCCTCCAGCACCTTCTGCTTTGCCTCCTGCACCTTCTGCTACACTAGCTTCTGAAATATTGCCAGTATCATTAACAAACAAGGCACCAAATGTTTCGACGTCAGCAGTCATGCTAGCTGCTAACTTACCGTCACTGACTCCATTTTCCAATTCTGGTCCAGATATAAATGCTATGGTGCCACCTATCTCCAGTAAACCTAATGCAATTTCTGGTTCAAGCTTGCCATATCAAACTGTATCCCAGTTGTCTCCTGCTATTGTTGGATCATCAAATTCTATCCGTACAGAAGCACCCGCCCCTTCTCTGGTAACCCCAGGTCAATTATTGCAGCCTGGACCAACTATAGTTTCTTCAGCTCAGCCTTCACAGACAACACATAAGGATGTTGAAGTGGTTCAGGTATCATCAACATCATCTCTTGAGCCATCTCTGCCAGGTTCTGCTGAAACTCAACCACCAATACTGCCATTTCCAGTAACTACACAGTCCAGTCACAGGGTATCCTCTTGATCTATGAATTGTATGCATTGCATGCACACACACACAAAATATTTTGGTTTCACATGTGCTTGTATGTTTGTTTATAATGGTAGCCTGGAGGAGACTGGATCTTGTAAATTAACTGGAATAACTTCTCATTGTCTATCCCTATTATATTGCACTTTCACTTTGATCTTCCATGGGCAGCTGCTCTCTATACCCATCCTGTAAGCTAGGCTTTGATCAAATCAGGAATGTGTAGAAATTTTACTTTGTAATTTTAGATTGTCCGCATACACTTTTTTCCTCCCGACTATGATCTCTTTGTCTGATGTTTTTTTGCAGAGAATTTAAAGTAGGATTTGGTCTGGTTTGTCTATGGTTTTAAATGGCAAACTGCCATACATGAATTATGATGATTGATGAACCTCTCTCGATTTGTTTCTGTTTTTTGTTTTTATCAAATAAATTTAGCACCATGTCATTCTTAGATAGACTGCAAGTCTGGATATTTTATTATATTAAATTTTCTTTTTTATCATCGATTCTTTTAATTGAGAAGGACTTTTGACATTTGGTTGCACCTTTTTAAGCCTGGTGGAGCTTCTATCCAAACTCATCATGGATATGGCTATAATTATAGAGGACGTGGAAGAGGAAGAGGAATTGGGGTAATGTTTTTTTACTGCTTCATTTAATATGTAGGGATTTTGGACTGCCTTGTACCCATGGAAATTCAGAACGTGTTGGAAGATTTAAAGTTTTTTATTTTGTTTTTTATTTATTTTTTATTATTCTGGGTAGTGGGGTGGTGATGGATGGCGGAGGGTTTTTTATTTTTTTATTTCAGACTTCACAAGCCTTTTCACTTATTATAAATATGTAAAGAATGAAGTATCCCTTGATGTGTGGTCTTTAGTTGGTAAGGTATGCCTTTTTTTGAATAATTGTCAAGCAATTAAGATTAGCTAAATAAACCAGCCAGAAGAATTTAATGTCATTATTTTTCAATTTATAATTTTGATATCTTTGTAATTGGAATATCCAGTTAAGGTCATGAAAGTTTTAATTAATGCTTCTCAGGGTTTGCGCCCTGTCACGAAATTCACTGAAGATTTTGATTTCATGGCAATGAATGAGAAATTCAAAAAGGATGAAGTTTGGGGTCATCTTGGTAAAAGCAGCAAGTCTCATTCAAAAGAGAAAGATGGGGAAGATAATGCCTTTGATGAAGATTACAGTCAGGACGAAGACAATGACGATTTATCAAATTTCGAGGTTAAGGTAATATTGTCTTGTGTGTCATTATGTAAATGTATTTTTGTTGTCAGTCTTTCTGTCTTTAACTTTGCTTTTCATGGTTTTTTGCAGGCTGTTTATAACAAGGATGATTTCTTTGACTCACTTTCTTCCAATGTGCATGATAATGTTTCACAGAATGGAAGGACTAGATATTCTGAACAAATTAAGATTGATACCGAGGTAATTTCTATCTTTTCTAGATCTTATTATATTTGGGAGCTATATTTAATTCATTTGGTGATTTGTGGTGCAGACATTTGGTGATTTTGTGAGGCACCGTGGTGGTCGGGGAGGCCGTGGTCCTGGACGTGGTGGACGTACTCGAGGTGGTTATTATGGAAGGGGGTATGGCTATTATTCTGGAAGAGGAAGGGGCCGCGGAATGCCCAGTCGCAGTTCTTAGGTGGTAGTTAGTGTTTTGTTAGGTCATGGTGGGTAACAAGAGCCAAGGCTGCCTCCAATTAAAGCACCGTAATTATCTTAGAGACCATGCTTCATTGTTGTGTTTCCTCCATTATGTTTGTTTCACAGAATAAGTATAGGACATTTTTTCTTGTTACTCCTCTACCATAGGCACTTTGGTTTGGTGGAAAGATGTTTGTACACCATCTTATTTCAGCTTTATATCAACAAGGCAGAAGTTTAGACTAGTTTGTTTGCAGTATATATTGTTCCAATTAGCTAGTCATCAATTTCTGGTGTTTTACTCATTATTATTTGCATTGTAAATGCAAGTTGCTAAGGTGGGATTCGGATTTGGGTAGGGATGGAAATCACTTTTTATTTAGTAACAAGTTAGCTTGAGAATGTTTCTTTTTAACATTCATGGATGAATTTATAAATAAAGGTATTTCGAAAATATATCATGCTGAGATAGACTGTCTTTGGTTGATGAATGACCATCAAGACTTATAAGTGCATGATCAGTTTATCATAAAAGCTTTTAATTTCCTAATTGCAAAATTCCTCCCCAAAAACTTTTAATTTCTGGGTTGTATTCTTCTCATATGCCAAACAGCTTTTAGCAGAAATGCCATTGATGGATATCTTTTCCAAAAGCCATCTTCACTAAAATCAAACAGATTCGAAACAGCTATATGAACTGCAAAGCTTTTGTTCATGTCAATGGGGGTGAAAGTGAAGTTTTCTTTCTTTTACTAAATTTCCAATTCATCTTTACTTTTTATAATAAACATATTTCTCTACGTGCAAAAGTACTAACACTTGAATTTGTTGAGAATTTTATTATTTAAAATTCCTATTACACTTTTTTTGTCTAATATTTTTTTTTCATACTTTTAGGTGTCAGTTTAATCATGTATCTTTCTATACTTTCTCCCCGGTTTGAACTTCTAACGTTCCATAAGATCCTTGATCATTAATGTCAAATTTTCTTCCTACTTGAGCTACCAATTTTAAATACATTCTAAATATACACACTGAACTGCTTGTGTGTTAAGATTAGGTGTGTTTTTCACTCGCTATCAAATACGTTGATGCATGAGAGTAATTTAAAGAGGCAGTGGTATAAATCAAAACTCCACAATGAAGTTACCATGAATTGGTCTCAATTGAAGGCTCAGAATTGGAGAAGTGTGAGGTGAATATGCAAAATGTGACTCTTCATTGGAGAAGAGAGATATTTATAGGGAAATGATATTTTTAGGTATAAAAAATGGGTTTTATAAGAGTTATGTTGTAGGAAAAGTGATTGTATAATGTTATAGAGATTCGTTTTGCGTGCCTTAATTTTTTATTTATTTTTTTGTTTTAAAAAGTGTGGGCCCCACAAAATGTTGTGAGAGTAGAAAAGTTTGTTGTGTTATGTTAAAGGATAAAATGAAAACCCATGAAAAATTGAGCCATAACTGTTTTGCCTTTATGCATCCCATTAGAAATGACGCAGCATGCCCTCACTTGTGTGAGGTACATGTGCTTGGGGAAGCTAAGGATCAAATGTAGTGAGGGAGTATTTATATGGGATACAAAGTTTTAACCCTTTTGATCAATGGATTTCCTTACACTGAATATGCATTTCCTTACATAATTTATAGGCTAAACAGCTTCTTCGTTACTGAGAGATCATCTTATGTATATTTGTAACAGGTACATCTGTCATTCAATAAGTAACATTTGGATAAAAAAAATATTTTTCTCTCCTTTCCATACAAGAAGACAGTCATTCCTCATTTTTTATTGGATAGAAGCACTGAGTGAATGGTACAACAGTAGTAGTACCATAAATATTTCCCTTATGCTACTCTCACATTAAAAAACAGGTTGTTTTTTTTTTTCTTTTTTTCTTTTTCTAAAAATGGCGGGACCCAATTTTCTTGAGACAGCTGCAAAAAAAAAAAATCTTCTACAGTGGCTGAAGAAGTATAAAGTGTCCTAATTTATATGAGATAGGATCCGTTTACAAACTTTTTTTGCAAATTACACTAAGTACGACCGGTCGTACACTGCATGATTAAAGTATGACCGGTCGTACTTAGTATAGTTTGTAAACAAAAAAGTTTGTAAATATAACCTGCTCTCGTTTATATATCCCTCAACATTACTTCTCAAGATTTCACATATAATTAGTCTCAAAATGGTGGGTCCTTCCCGTGTAAGTAGGTTCTGCATAGAGAACAATTTTATTGAAGGAGAAATGGAGTACATAATAATGATCATACATTACTTTTTCCTGGTAAATATTGGTGAATGACACACTTATTCATAGCTTTTATCTTCATTACCTTTTCTTTCTTAGTATATATATTTGAGACAACAATCTCAAACTACTTGCATGTAGCAACCAGGACTCTTCTAGGAGGAAGGGAAGGCCTTCTACCATGAAGCAAAGCAAGGTTATCAAGGAAGACAACATCTCCTTTCTCCCACTTGAATTGAATGCTCTCTTCTTCAATGATCTCTTCACACCTTTTAACTACCTTCTCTGGAATCTCTGTTCCATCTGCCATCATGGCCGAGCTAAGTTCCTTCCCATACATGCCTACTACTGTGTTAAACCACATTCTTCTTCCTTTCCTTCCTTCAAATACCTGCGTTAACCTTCTTGGTACAAGTATTGTCTTCGCCCCATTATTTGGAAGCCATTCTATTTCCATTCCTAGAGCTTTTGCCCTGCAACAATTTAGTAAGAACATTGAAGGTTCAATGAATAGTCTCATAGACCGATCAATAACATGCATGTACAAAACTAGTGCATATTTGACCAAGTGTTTGAAGGAAAAATACCTTTTCTCAGCTTCTTGGCGATCTGAGGTCCCAAATGCATCCTCCCAACCTCTACCTCTCATGGAGGAAGTATCATTCTGAGTACTGCGAGCTGTAAATGAGTACTTCAACCCCTTCTCTTCAATCTCCTTCACCACTTCTGGGAACTCTTCTAGCATCCTTTCTGTCACTCGGAAGCTTGGTACAAAAGGAGTCTCTCCTCCTTCAGGGGGTGGTATCTCACAAAACAGTATCACTTTCTTGGGATATTCCTTAATCTGGTTATTTAAATCCCCCATTTCATAATAAGCACAAGGAAAGTTAAGCTCCATAAAGCAAATGCAAATAATTGACCGAATTTTACTAGTAATATATATGTGTGCTTTATCTCAATTTTCTTGGGATGTTCTAAACTTATCTGTTGCATTCACACCCAATTTTCTATATGTGCTTTATCTCCCCATTCACACCCAATTTCCTATATGTGCGTTATCTCAATTTTTTTTTATTAAAATTATAGTTTTGATCATATAGGAAAGATATGCAAGTTGCAAGATGATGTAAGAAGCTGATTAAAAAATATATATTGACATATGTTGTAGGATACCAGTTCTAATATCTGTACTTAAAAATCAATATGATATTGTTCACATCAGAAAATCACTTTCTTCCCCAACCCAATTAGTGGTTGCAAACGTACGAAGGAAATGACATAATCTGAATATATTAATATCATGAATGGAAGGATATAGAGAGATCCCTGTCATACATTTTCTATTAGTGGCCGCCTGAAATCAAAATCATATTTTTTAATTGTTCTAGCGAGCTCATCTCTGTGCTGACTTCGTTTCTATTTGGTTAATTGTTTGTGCATAAGATTTTTTTCACAAAGGGATCAAACAGATTGATGCTCTGATTAACTGATGGAATTTCCAAGTGATTAACTGAAAGTTACCAAGAAAAGAAAAAAAAAGTGGAAAAAAATGTTAGATTTATATGCAATGATCATTTGATCCTTGGAATATGATGGTTATGATATTTGGAAACTAGCTAAATGACATGTCGTGGTGCAAATATGAGTATGATAAAATTGACTTACCAAAACCATTTCATGGTGATAGTATATGAACTCTGAGAGGGGTCCTTCATTGGCAGTCCATACTCTCTTGTAGATTTGTGTGCGAGGTGCTGGTCCAACATAACGAATGTCTTCCCATCCACATGTTTCTATGATATCATTGAAGTCCTCAGCATTGTTGATATCAAAACCTCGAAGGAGAACAGCACTGTTCTTGATTATCATTTGCTCAAACCATTCTTTGTTGTTCTTCAAAGCCAATAATAAGGATTCCATGCCCCTCTTGTTGGTCTCTGGAGGTTGGAGCACCAAAGGCATGGTTTCTCCATCTACTAGTTTTTCTCCTTCACATTTCCCCACCTTAAAGTCCTTGCAAGAAAATTCCATCCTATCTAATGTCAAATGTTTGTATGTTAGATAGTTGTGCTTAGGTGGGTTTTACCTTGAATAGGCTTATATATATATATATACATACATATATAGCACTGGTTGGAGTTGATAATTACTATGCTAAAATGCTTTGTCATCTACCTAAGGTATTCTTGATGTCGTTATCTAGCTGTTTATGTTTTGCTAGGAACTTAAGTTTGTCAATTTCTAACTTAAAAGTTGTAAAAGCATATTCACTTGGATTGGCCTTTTAGAAGACATTTTAGGGAAGGGGATAAAACTATATTTATTCCATTTTGGTTCCAATCACATACAACTATACCAAAACAGTGTGCAGCATCTTTAAGAAACTGATAAATGCCACAAGGAATCTATAATCAGTTTGAATGGTAATGAGAAAATTGAGGTACACGCTAAAAAAATTGATATGACCAAAATTATATATAATCCTCAAAGGTTATAGTAAAAACTAACATCCAAAGTTCTTAGTTATCATCCCTGAACATTGCTTAAAAAACTCAGAATGTGGTTGTGATGAAGACGTAATCGTATACCATATAAGTAGGGTGTGCATGGGTCAAGTCGGGTCAGGTTTTTGTGCTGACTCGACCCAATTTGATTTTTATAGGTCAGGTATTTTGACCCAATCCGCTTTAATTTGATCCAAGTCAGGTCTGACTTAGTTTGAATTTTTTTGAACTAGTTCAGAACCGGGTCGGATTTGACGTGACTTGGTTTCTGAAGAGGGTCAAATCTGACCTGACCCGTTTTTGACTTGGTTTCGTCACAAAATTTCGTCGAAATTTCTAAATTGCAAACGACGAAAATTTCGTTAGAAAATTATTTTTTCGTCGGAATACCTTTTGTCGAAAAGCGACAGAATTTTTTCTCTAATGAAAATTTTTACAAAAATAAATTTTCTTTCGAAATTTAGTTTCCGTCAAAAGTTTTGACGAAAATGATTTCCTCCATCAAATGTTTTAAATGAAAAAAGAATTCCGTCAAAAATTTTGACTAAATGCTTTTCGTTCAAAATTTCGATGGGAATATGTTCTGACGAAAATTTTGACAGAAATTGTTTTGAAGAAAATGTTTTATTCGAAACTTTCGACGAAATTTAGATTCTCTAAAGAATTTTGACAGAATATTTTTTCTTTCAAATTTTTTTATCGAAATATTTTTTGTCAAAAATTTTTACGAAAATTTTTGACAGAAATATGTTCCGTTGAAAATTTTGATGGAAATTTTTTTTATCAAAAAACTTGACGAAAATATTTAGTCGAAAATTTTCGATGAAAATTTGTTTCGCTAAAAATTTCGACGATTTTTTTTTTTTTTTGTCAAAAAGTTTGTCGAACTTTTTGATGAATATATTTTTTTGTGAAATATTTTGACGAAATTTAGATTCCGTAAAAGAATTTGACAAAAAAAAATTTCCGTCAAATTTTTTTACAGAAATGTTTTTAGTCACAAATTTTGATGAAAATATTTTTCGTCAAATTTTTTTGAAGGAAATTTTTTTCGTAAAAAATTTCGACGTAATTGTTTTACGTTAAAACTCTTCTTTTAATGTAATTGTGATTTTCCTTTTCTTTTTTCACATAATAAGTGTGGGTTAAGTTTTGGGTCAATGAGTTATTATTAAAACAAGTCAGATCTAAAATTGACCCAAATAAAAGTGGATCAGTATTTAAACCTAGTTAAAAAAATAAATATTTATGAGTCAAATTAAAATCAGATAAAATACAAGATAAGTGAATGAATTTTTTTGCATACCCTGCATACAAGGAAAAGGGAAAGAGGAAGGATCCATATAAAGTTACTGCTGCAAGGAATTTCGTCGCTTTGAAACCAACTTTGTAATTTCAACAAGAGACGATGACACATCAGAAAGTACTTGTAAAGTTGTAATACCCAGTAAATTTCTCTCGATAATACTAATGTTGTCACATCAACAATATTAATATTGTTTACGAAATCTCTATCAACATTATTAATGTTATCAATGAAGTCTTAAGAAAATTTAACTTTATACGAATAATAGATTGAGCCCAGTACGTAACATTTTTAGAGAAAAAAAATCTAGAGTAAATACTTTTTTAGGCTTTAACAAATTTTACGATGTCCGATTTAGTCCTCAGTAAATAAAAAGGTTATTCGTCATCCCTAAGAAATTCAAAATAGACCTATTTAGTTGAAATCGTGGTCTCACGCAAATTCAAAAAAGACCCACATTAGTTCCTCAAAAAAACAAAATGGGTCCACTTTAAATTTCTTAAGGATCATGAATAACCTTTTTATTTGCTAAGTACTAAAGCGGATATCGTAAAATTTACTGAAAACCGAAAATAGTATTTACTCAAAAATCTAACTTCGGGCCTGTTTGAATTAAGTTCTCAAAAATAACTTTTTGATTTTCAAAAAAAATAAAAAAAACCCGTTTGATAATACCTTTTTTAATAAAATAATTAGTTTTTAAAATTAAATTTAGAAAATATAACTCAGTTATTTTTGTTTTGTGTTTTGAGTTTTAACTTTCAAAATAAAATAAACACTAAAAAAAAATATTTCATTTATTATTATACAAAACAATTTTAAGAAAAATAAATCATAATATGTTAGGATACGAAGATCCAGTAGGATTAGGAAACCTTCTTCGGCGCTCACAGACTTTGTAACTTGATGAATGTTTCCTTCTTGCATCAGGAAGTGGATGTTGGGTGGTTAAGTAGTGATATCACACGTGTACTCTCATGCATGTGATCTTAGGTGGTTAGTTAGTTACACCACACGTGTACATGAAGGGTCGATTGGGTTTGCATATAACAATTGTAATAAACATTTGTACTTCATTTTCATTCAATATCAATATACAGAAATTCTGTTTCTTCCTTTCCTCTTTCGTTCTCTGTTTTGCTCCTTAGGTTTCTAAAACCTAACATTGGTGCTTTCATCTCATTCTCCAATTCTTGCTTCCATGACGAAGGTTCAAGAACTATCGGAGGAGTTGCATTCTTTTCAGCAACGAGTGGACACAAATCTGGAAGAGCTTCGCATGCAAGCCACGGTGCAAGCTAATGATACTAGAAACCAGATTTCCTTACTGGTTTTACAGATGCAACAATTACAGGAAACTATTCTGTCTAATCAACCGCAGAGGCAGGGTAATTCCCATAGTAATTCTTCTTCTGTTCCGCACAATTCCTGTCGACCAGAAACCATGGATCATCGCTCTTTGCTTAAGGGTGTTCGCATGGAGATTCCAGTGTTCAATGGGACTGATCCTAATAATTGGATTTTCAAAGCTGAGCTTTTCTTCACTTTACAGTTGATTCCGGATGAAACAAAGGTTGCTTTGGCTGGGTTGAAAATGGAGGGCATGACTGCCTCTTAGTTTCAATGGACCTTCAACACGGGTAAGGCTCGGGTTTGTCCTGATTTTACTTCTGCTCTTCGCCAACGATTTGGCATTTCGGGTTTTACAAATCTGAAAGGTGCTTTGTCCAAGTTGACTCAAACATCTTCTCTTCGTTTTTACATTCAACAGTTTGAAGCATTAGTTAACCAAATACCTGAATTAGATGATGATCTTCTCATGAACTTTTTTGTTTCGGGTCTTCAATCTGAATTACGTAGTGCTGTTCAGTTGAGGGAACCTCTGTCCTTACATCAAGCCATTCAATTGGCCATGGCTTACGATGATCATTTTGGGGATTTGAAAACTTCTTTCCAAGGTGCATCTAAGAAGTTCTTTTCCAAACCTGTTCCTGCTTTAGATAGTAGTCCTGTGTTGCCTAGTACATCTCCAAGTTCTAATGTACCTCCACCAGTGAGTAATACCACACATAGATTGTCTTTGCCAGCTCCTAATCCAATGAAGAGGGTTCTGAATGCTGATTTACATAAGATGAGAGAGTTGGGTCTTTGTTATACCTGTGATGACAAATGGAATTCTAAACACATCTGTCCAAACAAATATAAGTTGATGCTATTGGTGGGAGAGGAGGATGTTGTTGATCAGGACTTGGATGTGGAACATATCGTTTGGCAAGCTGAAAAGACTATTGGTGAAGCAACAAATGCTTCTCTTCATAAATTGAGGGACAATAATCATTATCGTGCCTTAATGTTTACTTCTGCATTGGCTGGTATGGATTTCTCTATTTTAGTTGATTCAGGTAGTACCCATAATTTCATACAACACCATCTAGCTGTAAAATTGTCCTTACCAATGACAAATGCCCATAGAATTCGTGTATTTTTGGGAAATGGTGATGTTATGTACTCTGAAAAAAGGTGTCTAAAGGTACCTTTGTTGATTCAAGGACATAAATTTGTGTGTGATCTCTGGGTTTTGGATCTTTCTGATATCAACATCATTTTGGGTATGCCTTGGTTGGAACAGTTAGGGAAGGTTACTCATGACTATATCAGTAAGTCAATGGAATTTGTTTGGGATGGAAAATCAATTTTGTTGCAAGGTCTTAATGCAGTGGTTGTTCCTTCTAGTTTGAATACATTTCTTACTCAAGAATGGGCAAGTTGTAATGTTCTGCCTGCAGACACTGTCTCTTCTCTTGAGGCTGACATTATTCCTGAGTTGTTAGCCTTGCAAGCTGAAATCCATCCCCTTATCTGGTCCATTTTATTGAAATTTCAGCAGGTGTTCTCATTACCTAGTGGTTTGCCACCATTCAGAGGGTTAGATCATTCGATTCATTTAGAAGCAGGTACCAAGCCAATTAATGTCAAACCATACAGATATGGTCATAGCCAAAAATCTGAGATTGAAAAGCAAGTTTCTGACTTATTAGCATCTGGTTTCATACAGCATTCCCAAAGTCCTTTCTCCTCTCCAGTTTTGCTAGTTCGAAAACAAGATAATTCATGGAGACTTTGTATTGATTATAGGGCTCTTAATGCAGTCACAATTAAAGATCGATTCCCTATTCCTACTATTGATGAGCTGTTGGATGAACTAGGGGGATCTACTATCT